TCTGAGAGTTTCTTTCTTTCTTTCTTTGAGAATCTGTTTCTTTTTTGTTATGTTCACTACTGTGTTTTATGTCTTAGATTTCACATATAAATGATAACATAGTATTGCACAATGATTTTGAAGTTACCTGTATTTCAAATTCATTTTGTTTCCCCCAAGAGCACAGTAGTGTTCTTTGTAAATAGCAGTAATTGATGTTTTTTGGCTAACTACACAAACACAAACTTACAAATATTGTGCAGAATGCCTGGCAAGTCAAGTAAGAAGAACAAGAACAAAAATATGAAAAATAGCTTGCTTAAGCACTTACTGCTCAAGTCTGGCAAGCTAATAAGTCTGTTACTGTTTCATGACTGCTGAAAAAAGATCCAAGATTCCTGGGCCAGAGACAGAGGAATTTTATTCACGACAGTAGCAACAACTTCAGCCCCTTTGTATTAATTTCTCTTGCCCCGCCAAGTGCCATGAGGATGACATGAAGGCTCAGATGAATGCTGTGTACTTGGTGGTCTTAAACTCCACAGTTGGGGAACACTGAGCTTGGGGAACCTACACCATTTTGTAGGGAGTAGTAAGCAAACGTATTATTTATCCTGGATGGAGAGCTTATTTCATTCCTCACATCTGCTCACTGTAAACATAATCCTGAGAAATGACCCTGGTAAAAAATGGTCAGGGCCTTGCATTCTTATCATATGCAAGAAGGTGGATGTGTGTATGTGCATGCTCAGTTGTGTCTGACTTATTGCAACCTTATGGACTGTAGCCTGCCAGGCTCCTCTGACCATGGAAATTTTCAGGCAAGAATACTGGAACAGGTTACCATTTCCTACTCCAGGGGATCTTCCCAACCCAGGGATCAAACCCACGTCTGTCGCAGATTCTTTACTAATGTGCCCCCTGCGATGCCCCAGGAAGGTGGGTAAAAAGCATAAAAAACCCATGAAGGGCTGTCTCTCTGCACATTGTGAGTGAAGTGAAGTCGCTCAGTTGTATCCAATTCTTTGCAACCCCATGGACTGCAGCCTCCCAGGCTTCTCCGTCCATGGGATTTTCCAGGCAAGAGTACTGGAGTGGGGGTTGCCATTTCCTTCTCCAGGGAATCTTCCCGACTCGGGGATTGAACCCAGTTCTCCCGTGTTACAGGCAGACGCTTTACCCTCTAAGCCACCGTGCCAAACATTAAGCGCTAAATGCTAAACACTTTATAATCTCATTTAGTCCTCACAACTCTTTAATGTCCTGTATTTCATAGATTAAGTAAACAGGCATAGAGAGCTCACACAGCTAATAAGGTGTGAATCTAGGAAAAACAACAGGGATACATAGTTAGAAGAGAATAAAAGTTAATTTACAGAGGTTTGATGACTTTTAAAAGCAACAAGCAACCCCTCCAAAGAATTTATAGACTATATAAGCAAAGGCGGGGGGAAAACAGTAAAATAGGGAATTCCCTGATTCAGCTTTCAGAGCTGAGGGTGCTGGTTCAGTCCCTGGTCAGGGAACTAAGATCCCACAAGCCAAGAGATGCAGCCAAAAAAACAACCCCAGTAGAATAACTAAGATATCTTACTAAAATGTGGGATGAGGACTCAAAGTTATTATAACATAAAATTAATGTGCCATATTTTATAACCAAGCTAACGAAGAGGGATCTTGATTAGTTAAATAGGTATGGAAATGAATAGAAGTTGGAATGAGAATTTTGCTCCAAAATAATAATGGCATTGATACTGAACATGAATCATTTGGTTTGAACAGAGCACTGGATGGGAAGAAATTTATCCAACAAAGCAAGGCATCAGAGAAAGGAAAAGAGAATTTCCACTAAAAGAGCTGGGCTTTTTTTTTCTTCTTCTTCATTTGTGTAAATGTCAAAGATATCCTGAATGCCTATCTGCTTTACACTCTGTAATAGTGGCTAGGGATCCAAACATGGTATCTGCAAACTCCATGAAGGCAATATGACATGATCAAACCTACAAATGTGCATACTCCTTGATCTATCAGTTCCGCTTGTAGTTCATTCTACTGTCACAGTTGCACATGTGTGAAATGACATTTTTGTGAAGTTAGTCATTGCAGCATTGTTTGTCTTCACAAAAGCTAGGAAATAATGTTGCACAATGGAAAACTGAAAAACTGTAAGTAAAGAATAAGGAAGTTCTTTACTAAAGAGGAATGACTTCATGGACACTGTACACAATTAAATGGAAAGGTGCAGCTCATTCTGTAGAGTATGATACCACTTTTGCATAAAAGGGAACCATAGATATGTTTATGTCTCTAGAATTATTTATAAGAAGGTCTTCCCAGGTGGCACAGTAGTAAAGAATCCGCCTGCCAATGCGGGAGACGCAGGAAACTCAGGTTCAATCCCTGGATTGGGAATATCCCCTGGAGTAGGAAATGGCAAACCATTCCAGTATCCTTGCCTGGAAAATTCAATGGACAGAGGAACCTGGCGGGCTACAGTCCATGGGGTCACAAAGAGTCAGACAAGACCGAGCCCACACACACACATTCACGAGAAACCAATAACATTGATTGCCTCTGGAAAGGGGGACTGGACAACTGCAGGGAGCAGGGAGGACAGGAGTGGGAGACAGTTCACTATATACCATTTTGTAAGTTCTTTTAGATAGATGCATGAGTTGCCCATTCACAAAATAAATACAGAAAATACTTAGAAGGATCAGATTGGAAGAAAAGGTGATCAGAGCATCAAACTAGGAAAATAAAATAAGATGCCATTACTGCTCTCAAGAATCTAGCAAGAGAGACAGCAAAAGAAAAAGTGATTACAATACGAGCCTTGGCACTCCTGAACAATGAGAGCTGTGACCGAGGCTGCACCAGCTGCTTGGTGCACATCCGAGCGGGCTTCCACGTGGAGCGGCTGACTGATCAAGATGAGTTAGCAAGGCAGGGAAGGGGAGTGGTGGAAGGACAGTCTGACAAGACACAGAGAGATTTTTTTTCAGCTTTTCATTTTGTATGGTGTGTAACTGATTAATGATATTGTGACAGTTTTAGGTGAACATCAAAAGGACTCAGCCATACATACACATGTATCCATTCTTCCCCAAACTTTCGTCCCATCCAGGCCACCACACAACACTGAGAGAGTTCCATGTGCTGTATTGTTGGTCCTTGACAGCTATTCCTTTTATTTTATTATTTTTTCACTTCAAAAGACATAAGTCTGAAGTTTTATTGAGGACAAAGTTATATACAAAGCATTATGTTCCCTAGAAATGACAGCTGAACAAAAAAGACGAGTGGCTCCTGGATTTAAGAGGTCATTATTTCAGGTTAGAGGGATTAAAACTTGAAGCACGTCACCTGGAGTTAAAGTACATAGGAAAGATAACAGGCATTTTACAGTGGCAGAGAATTTAAACATTCCTTTGCAAGCTGAAAAGAAAGGCTCAAGAATTGTAGTTTGTTACATTAGAGTGGTAAAAAGCCAAAAAGAGGTAGAGATGCCAAGCACAGTTCACCCCTTTTTCTCTGGTAAAAAACAAAAAATTTCCTAAAGGGCTAGGTTTTGAGTGCTTCAGCTAGACATCTCAGGAGCACACAATTTTTAAATGCAACATCTGTCCTGGATATATCAAAAAACTATCTTCTTTTATTCTGCCAATGCGTAGATCAATATGAAGTTTCAGGTGTTCTCCAGAAGTTCGCAGGTTCTTGCTAGATTCTCCTCTTTACCCTCTTGGTGGTACTGGCATCAACAGCTTCCCTCTTTCTAGGTAAGGAGTCCTTATATTCAGCACTGTGGACTTTAAACTTGGAAACTGCCTTCATTTTATCACATCTAATTTGGGACATGCAATTGAAACTGACTTAGCCTCCCTACCTAGTCACCTGGTGGACCAAAGATCCTGCCCAACTTACTGAGAAACAGTAAACTGCATGTGGCAAACAAATACCACTCAGGAGTGGAAATCACCGCTAAACTTTAGATTATAGCTAGTTTTGTTCAAATACACAGTTAGAGATGATTCAGGCAACACAGAACATACCATTATCTACACATGCATTTCCCATCTTTCAGACAAAAGTTGGAATACCTCTAAAAATCACTGAATAAAAATTTCCTGTTAAGTATATAGTGTTATTTAATTTGAAGCATTACTTTTTTTATAGCAATACTTAAGAACGGACTTGACCCTTAAAGCCTTACTCCAGTGAAAACAGATCTCCTTGTTGACATCTCTCTTATTCTTTTTCCAGCATACAATGCCTTCCTAAACAAGATACAGACAGTTTCAGTTGTTTATGTACCAACTCTAGGTACACAGTCAGGTAAAGAATCATCATCTGTATCTCGAAAAGTTCAGATACCACCCTCATTCACCTCTATTCATCTGTCTTCTATTTCCTTTCTTCCTTTACCTGTAGGTTCTTACACATCCACACATTCTCCCCTTCCGTTCATGAGTCCACAACCCCCTCCAGCCCAGAATCGGCTGCAACACTGGCTTTGGAGTATAAGACACTAACCTCTGCTTGGACAAGTCTTTTAACTATAGGGGACTGGAGAGTTCTAGCCCCAGACCAGGTGCCTAGCAGCAACCTCTACACTCTTACGCCTCCAAACAAGGCTTCTGAGAACTGTGAATAAAGGATCCTAAGCTGTTTTATATTAAGGTGGTGTGCTGGATTGCATTTTAAGTATCAACTGTCAGTTCTTAGTTCTAAGAAAACATACAAGTAAAAGGAAATACCCTATTTACATACTATTCCAGTTTTTAATCAAACTCTGCAGATTTACTCCATGAACCTAGGGATAGCAATGTCCCAAATGGACTTTTTAAGTGCTTGGCCACTTACTTGCCCCAGACTCTAGAGTGACTCTAGAGTCCACTCTTCTGGTTGCCCCTGAATATGTGTGGTAGGAGCTTCCTAGGAGTAAAACAAGACAATAAACAGGATGTATCCAACACGTCTTTATCGGGATGGTTTCCCACTCATCTTGATACAGGGTACTTTTAGTGCTGCTTCCGTCTGAAGGAGCATCCTTCTGTAAGCCTTGTTTTTCCTCCTGCAGCCTGGCAGAGGACCGTAGAGCAGCCAACACACAAAACTACTGTTTGTGCATGGCTAAAGACAATGTTGATTTTATAGCATCCAAGGCATTTTACATCCATGAAATAGGAATTGGGGCTCTGCACCAGGCTCTTCTTCTTGTGTTTCTTCTTCTCCTTTTCTGGAGAGGGATGAAGAAGACCCTTTGCGAGAGGCACGTTCTCATGAGATTTTCACTGCTGGAAAGTTATCCATTTTAAATATGGCAGGACACACAGAGATTTGTAAGAACATGGAGCACTGTAAGAACTGCAAGCCAGAGCAGAGGCGACAGGGAGGAAGTGGGCACAGAGGAGACAGGAGAAGTGGGCAAGAGTCAGATCCAGGAGGGTTTCAGATGCTGAAGAGGGTACCCAGGAGTTTGGATGTCATTCTGAAGTACTTGGGGGCCTCTGAATGCTTTTGAGCAGAGCAGCAGTATCATCAGATCTGTGCTTCACAAGGTTCATTTTGTGCAGTGTGGAGATAGAATGAGACAGATCAGTTAAGAAGCGACTGCAGTGATTCAGGTGAGAATTGATGAGATTCAAGCGAGGGCAGTGGTGATGGAGGGAAGAAAAGCTAAAGAAAAAGGATTTGGTGACCATTTGGCTCTCAGGTGGGTGGGGGAAGAAAGAATGATGATTTGCCAGTGGGATTCTTTAAGAGCAGGCATGAAACGGAAGAGGAAAAAGTTTGGGTGGAAAGATAATTCAGTTTGGGGTATGTTGGATTTGAGGGGCCTGCGGGAGACCCAAGAATTGATCAGTTACTGGTTGGATGCATGAGTCTGGCATTGGGGGAAAGGGTCTGGGCTGGAGCATAGATTTGGGAGCCATCAGTCCTGGGTGGGGCTCCTGAGAGTCCCAAGGCAAAAGGGTAGTAAGTGAGAGACGGGCCAAGGTCAGAGCCCAGAGAATGCTCTCCCTCGTCAAATTTAGCCGACTTTAAGAGGAAGGAGAATGGGGGAAAGACTGAGAAAGAGGAGTCAGAGAGTAGGGGGACCCAGAGAGAGCAGGGACTTGAACGTTGATGAAGTTACCTTTGGAAATAGGACAATTTGTAGAGCACCTAGTCAAGAGCGTGGTTAGTCCTCACAATAACCAGGTAAATAAAAGCGTTTTTGAGAAACAAGACTTGGATAACCAGAAGATCCCAATCACACTGCTAGTTAATAGCAAAACTGAATCTGGAACCCACATTTTCTGACACCAAGGCCAGGACTCTCCATTATCCAACTTCCTTTTTGGTTTAAAAAAAAAAAGGTCCTCCTACCCTTTGTGATGTACAAAGTCAGCAGGTTTCTGTTAGCTTTTTGTGTACTGTGAGGAGAACCCCACCTCCACACCATCACTCATATGATGTGATGTCCTTAGCCCTTGATGTCCTGCCTCTTCTCTTCCCCTCTTTGCTGGTCTCACTTCTACTCATCCTTCAAACTGTAGCCTAAGTCCCTCCGTAAAACCTCCCCTGAGGATTCCAGTTTACTCTGACCCCTCTCTCTTTTTTAAATTCCTGCTGCAAATACACCTTTCCATGACCCCATCACCCCCTCAGTGAGTCACATCCTTGTGTGATTCCCTCGCCTTGAGTGTGGGTGGGACCTGTGACTTGCTCCTAGGCAGTAGAACATGGTGAAGATAATGGTGTGTCACTCGCATGGTTACAGACACATTATATAACACTCCTTTCTTGCTGACTGGCGTGAGTCTCTTGCTGGCCCTGAAGAAGAACTCTGCCATGTTGTGAACTGCTGTGGAGAAGGCTCGTGGGAGGGAACTGCAGGAACCTCTAGGATCTAAGAGCTGCCCCCTCCTGACCGCAAGAAAATAGGACCCTCAGTCCTAAATCTGCAAGAAATTGTTACAACAACCTCATGAGCTTGGAGAAGAATCCTGGTTTCAACTTGGGAACATAACCCAGCCAATGCCTTGTTGCAGGCTTGTGAGACCCTACAGATAACTCAGCTAAGCTGAACCCAGAACTCCTGGACCATAGAACTTGTGAGATTATAAATGTGTATAGTCTTAAACTGCTGAATTTGTGGTAACCTGTTACACGATGATAAGTAATAAATATAACTCTGGTTGCATCTATGGCCAGAGCTACTCAGTTTAGATTGTAACAATTTATTACCTAGTTTAGCCTTACCTTTCCAATCTGAACATAAGCTTCTTTAAAATGAGGAACTTGTCCCATGTGACTTGTCACGCCCTCAGAGTGTATCATAGTGAGAGGCACTAGAGAAGAAGTTCAACAGGGTGGATAGCGTGTTAGTTAAGGAAAGGACTGTAAGTGGCTAATAATATCTGCTGCCTAGTGGCATGGTGGGGAGCAAGTGGGAATATGTGGGAAACACCTACCATAATACTTAGCTCAGGGCTGTTATTAAGAATGCTAATAAATACCACATCTAGCCCTCATTTTGCTGATAAAGAACTAGCTCCCTCCACTATCACCCTGTGAAAAAGGAAATAGACCCAGCAAGGTGACAATGACTGTCAAAAGTCATTCAGTAAATCAGTGACTAGCACCCAATCCTAAGTAGAAAAATGACATGATTTGAATGAGGAGATAAGGCGTGCCATTTCCCGTGAAGTCATGGAATTGAAGAAAACAGAAAGAAGACCCCTTTTTTAGGCCTTTGCCCTAATTCTGACTCTTCTTTCTTTTTCACTATCTTTCTGTACTTTTTTCCTGTGAAGACCATGTGAAAAACCACCTTTTTTTTTGTAAACTGAGTAACTGATTTGCAAGAATGGATAATTCCTAGAGACTGGAGGCTTCCGGGCTTCCTTGGTAGCTCAGCTGGTAAAGAATCTGCCTGCAATGTGGGAGATGTGGTTCGATCCCTGGGGTGGGAAGATCGCCTGGAGGAGGGCATGGCAACCCACTCTAGTATTCCTGCCTCTGGAATCCCCAGGGACAGAGGAGCCTGGTGGGCTACAGCCCATGGGGGTCGCAAAGAGTCAAACATGACTGAGTGACTAAGCACAGCACAGAGGATTCCCACTAGTGGGAAAGAACCCACCGGCCAATGCAGGAGACATAAGAACCCAGGTTTAATCCTTGGGTCGGAAAGATCCCCTGGAGAAGGAAACAGCAACCCACTCCAGTATTCTGGCCTTGAAATCCCATGGACAGAGGAGCCTGGCAGGCTACAGTCCGTAGGCAAAAGAGTCGGACACAACTGAAGTGACTTAACACAGAGGGTTGATGGGGGCTTCCCAGGTGGTGCTAGTGGTAAAGAATAAAATCCCTTGGAGTAGGAAATGTCACCCGATTCCTGTATTCTTGCCTGGAAAATTCCGTGGGCAGAGGAGACTGGCGGGTTACAGTCCATAGGCTCAAAAGAGTCCCACACTTCCGAGCAACTGAGCACAGAAGGTTTATGAATCAAGATTCCTTTAGTTGCAAAGGAGAGCAACTCATTTCAAACTAGCTTAAGCAAAAAAGAGAATTTGTTGGTTCACATAGCTAAGAAGGACACTGAGTATTTCTGCTAAATGTAGCTGTGTAACAAACCATCGCAAAGTTTAGTGATATAGTACTATCATTTTATTATTCTATGGACTGTATGGGTCAGGAATTCAGATACGATACGTGGGGGTGACTTGTTCCTGCCCCTCAATGCCTGGAACCTCAGTTGGGAAGACTGAGGCTCAAGGTGACTCGATGCCTGGGTTCATATGGATATGTCTCATTTCTGGTTGACGCTGTCTGCTGGGACCTCATCTAGAGCTGTTGGCATGACCCCTATGGTCTCTTCAGGTAGCTCCTGGCTTCTTCAAGCATGGTGCCTGAGTTCCAAAGTCAGAAGTCCCCAGAGAATAAAGCAATAGTGTATGGCATTTTTATGATTCAGTGTCAGAAGTCACACAGCACCACTTCCACCATACATTTTCAGATCAAGTGGTCACAAAGGTCTGTCCAGGTACAAGAGGCAGGGATACAGACATCACCACTCCACAGAAGGAGTGTCAATGTTGCATTGTAGTTAAGAGTACGTGGGATGGGATATATCATGGTGGCCATTTCTGAAGAAAATGATCTGCCACTCTGGGGTAGTTCACAGATTTAAAACAAATGCTATAGGAGCCTAGGCCTTAAGGTCTGACACAGAGAAATGCTTCCCTCTTTTTCTTCTGCCTTTTGTTTCTGCTCAACTCTGTTTCTTTGTCTATTAGCAAAAAAAAAAAAAAAAAAACCCCACTTTGTTTTTCTCAGCATCTGTGTATAATTTTCTAGGGAAGGACTCTGGCCGTTCCTTGAGTCATGTGCCTACCACTTGGACTGATTGAAGTTGCCTGGAGAATGAAGAACTATGATAATCCAAACCTGGATCACATGCCCAGCTCACATGCCTAAAAGAAAGTTTGCTGGGTAGACTCTAAAGAATAGTCCAATCAGCCACAAGTTCAACATGAGTGAGCACTGATGTCAGCTCGGTGTGTAATTCTGTCAGTTTCCGGTCAGCTTTCTGTAGTTGGAGTATTTCAAAGCCCTTTACCTAGTCATCTTCATATCACGCCCTTGTCTTCCACTTTGTCACACGCCATCTCTCTGAGATTTCCTGGGTCTCTCATTGGAGAGAAAAGCTCCCTCACGCTTACAGCTGTCCTGACTGGCTTGTTTTTCTCACCCCTCTCACCACACCTGACCATCGTATTTCAAAGGACCATTCTCAGATAAAATTTTTCTCCATCCTTCCAGTTGCAACTTCCCACACAAATTTCACTCTGTTATTTGTGTCTCTCTCCATTTTCTCCCGTATCTCTCCACCTCTTTCTTTTCTCAAAATCAAACTCAATTTTTCAGGAGTACTTTTTCCTAGAAATCTTTTCCCAGAGCCGACAGTTCAAAAATAATACAACAGGATGGGCTCTCTCATACTAGAAAGACCAATGCTGCCTCAATAGCATCATCCAGTGGAAAAGCTTGTGAGACTTGGGTCATTTGCATTGGTTCTTATTTAGCTTTAATCCTTAACAAGTTACTTGGTATGCTTTTGGTTGCAAGTACAGAAAATGCAAAAGTGGTTTAAATAAAAAGGAAATGTATGATCTCACATAAACAGCAAGACTAAAGGTGGGGAGTTCCAAAGTTGGTTAATTCAGAATCTCATTCACATCATACAGGATCCAGACTCCCCTCTGCTGTCTTCAATGTATTATCTGGGTGATGTGGC